GGAGTAGAGAGAGGGCCCTGGGCCTCGGGGCGGCTGCTGCCTGTCAGCCCACCCAGCTGTGTGCTGCAGGCACTAGAGTCCTCACCAGTGACCAGGACTCCATATCGACCTGCTTCTGGGGGCTGATGGTACTGTCCCCTGCATATCAAAAATAGGAGTGATTTGATCAGAAAACTAGGTGGACAGTCTGACTGCAGAAATTACTGAAAATGCAGGAAAATAGAAAAGGAAAGGAGATCATTTGTCACCTGGGCCAGACTAAGAGAGAAAGTGTTAAGCCGAGAGTAGAGCAGTGTGGTACCTTTCAGCCCACGCTTGCATTTCAGTGTGAAGACAGCAGCAACTGCACTGTGAAGTAAAGGAGCACAGCAGCTCCGGTTCTGCTCATGATGACTGATTAACTGCCCTTTGGGTTTTTACCATGAAATTCTTTCAGAAATGATGTTTTTCGGTCACTCTTGCTGTGCCGGGCCCTGGGCACCTGCTGCATGTCTGCCGTGGCCTGGAGGCGGCCGCTATCCTCTCTTGGCGAGGATGCTCCTAGTCTTGATTAGAGGTAAAAGCGAAGTTCATGGAGAAATGTGGATGATGGAGGTGCCGCTTTTAACCCTTGAGTTTTCCCACATCACGAATGTACTCTTCCCATAAGAAATCTTTAAAGCTCTTTGGTGTCTGCACTGTGCTTGTGGCCGACCGTCTCTGAGTGTTTCTGCTCCACAAGCTGCAGGGACATCCCGAGGAGGGCTTCGAGCACTCTCTACCCTCCCCACCACACTGGTGTCCTGACCCGCTGCGTCTGCCCCAGCAAGCCCATCCCTCCCTTGGTACGTTGGCAGTCCGCATGGTATTGTCTTACAAAGGAACAGAAAGCAACTTTTCTCATTCCATACCAAAAAAGTATCTTGTTTCATCTTACTTATTTGGTTAGTAGTGTGAGTTTTTTTCTTTATTTACTACCTATTTTTCAGTTACTGTCGGGTTCACTGAACACTTATCTCTCATACTTTTAAAATTTTTATAAACATCTCTGTATTAATGATGTCAAACTTTATATTTATGGGAAATATTTTGTTTTACTTATCTTGTATTTACGTCACGTTTGATATAGCTAAATTTACCACTAGGTTCTTTTGAATTTGTTTGTTAGATAGAAAGCCCTTCTCTGTCCTGAGATCTGATTCTCAAGTAGGTTTTTCCTCTAGGAGTTATCAAAAAATTCCTTTTCTTTTCTCCCCTTCTTTTCACTTCTTATAGTCCCTCAGACTAATGTATTCTGTTTCACACAGGTGTTATTTAGTTTTGTTTGCAGATACTTGGCATTTGTTTAGTTTTGGACTGTGGGCATTGAAGAGGATGATGTATAAAGTCGATGCAGAGGCGCCTTTCCGTGCCCTCTTGGTACCCTGAAGCTGTCGGTCCACAGGCGCAGCGTGAACCTTCCCAGCCACTCCTTCGTAAACACCCTGTCCTCTTCCCCTCCTGGGCATTGCGTCCCTCTTCCCCTCTTCCTCTATTCTTATTTACTAAGCTCAGAGCCCAGCTTCTGTCTTGCCAGCCCAGCCCTGTGAAAATCATGGTCACAGGGAGGCCAAGGTAGGAAATTGCTTACTCTGTACTTCATATGCCTTTCTTCGGAGAAGTTGCTGACCTTTGAAGATGTTAAAAATATTTCGTCTCTCTTCAGCTCTATCTATCTTTCTATGAGAGAGATTTCAATGGAATGGCTGGTGGTCATGTTTTAAATCCAATGAAGAGACAGAAGTGAAAGATTTTTAAAGCTAGAATGGTGCAGACAGGAACTGGGCTTCTTATTTGGAGATCAACTGATGGTCTTCCCAGAGTCCTCAGCATCTCTGGAGGGAAAGTTCCCTTACCTTCACCCTCTCCAGTCGTTAGAAAGACAGGAACTTTGCAGATGGCGCTGGGCCATGCTTCATGGCTGGGCTGATCACGCTGTGATAATGTCACACATTCATCTGCAAAGCTTGTGGCAGTGCCCTGAACATCTGCACACAATGCGCCTTTCATGCCAAGAAAGCGAGGACCCGCTTATCACAGGCGTCTGCAGGCTGCTCTTCCTGCCCAGCGGCCTCTGAGGTCCTGGCTGCCCTGGGCTGGGCGAGGCGTGCCAGCAGCCTGGCAGACAGTCCCAGGGGCGCCCTTCCTGTCCTCCGGATGCAGCCCGAGCTGGGTGGGCACAGCAGCAAGCGCTGAATTCTGCAGCCTGCACGGCAGCCGTTCTGCATTCGCCTCACTCCCCAACCTCGGCTCAGACACATGCCTCCTACGGCCACGCTGCCCACAGCCACACATTTCGTGTCAAGCAGACTTGAAGGTTGGACACTGTAGCGGTTCTCCGGAGAGATGGTGCAGCGGAAAGCGTCATGGCTGTTCCGTTTCCCTTCATGGCAAGAATTCTTTCCTTCTCCGGGTTAGTAGGCTTTTGAGCAGCTGCCGTGTGCCAGGTTAAGTGTAGGACTAAAGAGGGAGGTGTTTTATGCCTTGCCACATAATTCAAGCCACTTTGGCCCAGTCCGTTGAGAACTTTCCTTTATCATTTTCCCAGTGAACAAAAGAGCTTTCACGTGTTCATAATCATAGCTTAATTTAGAGCCGAGGCTGCGGAAAGTTGGAGGCCTGAGCGCTTGCACTCTGGACCACCGTCCTTTCTGTCTTCTGGCTTTCTGCACAGGAAGGCCATTTCTGTAGCCTGCTCCCAGGGCCCACCTGTCACGCCAGGGGTCCGTCCGGGGAAACCCACCCGCGTCCTGAGAGCACCACAGCAATGGCCAGGTGCTGCGTCCCGTGAAGCAGCACACATTTGCCACACCGCCGTTTCGGGGCCCTAAGCTGATGGGTCGGCTGCTTCCTCCCCACGATGCCCCAAGGCAGGAGCCACGGTGTTACCTGGCCCGCAAGCTCCTCTGAGGCTCCAGACCTTCAGGTTGGCAGAGCTCGGCTCCTTGTGGTTGTAGCGCTGATGTCCCTGCTTCCGTGCCGGTGGCCACCAGGGGCCTCTCTGGCTCCCTGGCCACCCACGCCTCACCGAATATCCCCTCCGTCCTCCCGCTGGGGCAGCTTGCTGGGAGCCTTGCTGTGTGTCCCCTCCACCTTCACCCTGGCACATCTGTGGCTCCAGCCACAGAGAACTCTCTCCAGAGCGCTTCAGGTGGACCGGGCACCTGATAACCTGGGGTGTTAGGTCCCGCCTAACTCCGTCCATGTCCCTGGGCCAGCGAATGTCCAGGGGTCAGGATACGGGCTTCTCTGGGGTCCATTCACCGTTCACACTTTCTCAGCCCTCAGGCCCTTCCCTTGTCCTGCGACCCGACTGACCGGGGCCACCGTAGCCTGTCTGCCCGGGAAGAAAGAGGCTTGGAGAAGGTGGGGCTCTGACACAGCCCTGTGCCTCACAGTGCCGGCCGGGGACCGACAGTCTGCCTCCACGGCTGCTGCCGTTCATTAGGAACGCAAGCATGAAGCTGTGTTGGCTGATGAGATGCTGGTTCACAGGCAAAATTCTATAATTTGGCAAAGTTAAATTTCTTTGGAATACTTAGGCATTCCTGGAAAGCTAAGAAGAATGAGGGCACATATACATCTTCCTGAATAAGTTCTGCTTCGGAAATTTACATTCCTAATTTTCTTTCAATTTTCAGGCAAACCAACTAATTCCATAATGTTACAGCATTCTTCATGATTCATGCATTGGCCTCTTAGTAACTGTTCTGGTGTCATCACGTCAGCACCCTTGGGATCAGGATGCATCCCAGGCGCTGCCTCTCCTCCTCCCCCTCCGAGCTGGGGCTCTCCCACGCAGCATTGTCCCACTCAAGCCCTGGACATACTGGTTTGCAGGGCTGTTTTTAATTAATTATTTATTTATTTATTTTTATTTTGGGGGGGACTGTTATTTTAACCAGTGAATAGCTTTCATATTCATGACATATTTTCTTAAATAATATGTATTGTAAAGCTGAGGATAAGTTCTAAGTGTATTTTCCTATTTGAAAGGTAAATTAGACAAATATATCCAAGTGTTTTGCTAAATATCGTTCGGACCTTAAAGGACTCCACTTACCAGGCATGGTGGTGCACACCTGTAGTCCAGGCATTCGGGAGGCTGAGGCAGAACAGTGGCGAGTTTGAGCCCAACCTGAGCAATCTAGCAACTTGGGAACTCCCCATTCAAAAAGTTAATTAAAAAAAGGGGAGGAATGTAGCTTAGTGTGAAGGTCCTGGTTTCAATCCCCGATGAGCCCCAGTTCCCCCCCGCCCCCCGCCCCGAAAAGGGAATGCCATCCGAGTTAGGCTCTGTGAAGGCAGGAGTGTTACACGTCCAGCACTGACACTGGGCAATGGTGAATATTCATTGGGTAAGTGAAGCAATGGAAGAGTTTCCATTTTCAACCTAGACGAAAAAAAGTATTCAAAATTCTGATTTAAAAATTGCCAAATACATATTATTTGGACATTTTGATGGATTGGTTTTTATCATAAATCATAACAGCACTCTTTACTTTGAAGGCATGTAAGCAAGAAAAGCAAGTACATACTTTCTCTTTTTGCAAGAGCAAAATGTTATTGTGAAGTAAATACTAAATGAATTAAAATATTGAGGAGGAGGAGGACTCATTAATGCCACTTCCTGTGTTTGTAGGACAAACATATTCCATGGCAGAGAAAACACTTTGAAGACTTTTGTGCACATTCAATTTCTTCATATTTATGTTTTTCATCTGCATACATCAGAGGATATAAATAATTGTCTATTCATATTATTCTTTTCTGAAATACCAACAGTTAAAAGAAGACTCTAAGACCTCCATATTTATATTTGTTAACTTAAAAATCTCAAAAACACATCAGTGTTAAAGTACTGCAATGATTTTAGCACAAATACTTAAAATTCAAGGGCACTAGATTAGTGCAAAAATACAACCTTGTGCAACTGTGCTAAATAAAAAGCTTCTTTCTTTCTAGTTCAAGTCATGGTTTTCCAGCACCACCTCACACTGTCTCTGATGACTCTTGCTGGCAGAGGCCACATCTACCCCCATTCAGAGAATCATCCTATCTTTGATAGGAGAACTTCTAAACTGCCTGGAAGAAGGGACATGAGATATGAAAAATGTAACATAAGGAAGAAATTCAACAGAGTTTCTTCAAACACTCTTCAGAAAGTTGGCAGTCACTTGCACAGCTCGAAAGGTGTATTATTAGATCAGTTTTGTCATCTCCATTATGGATGCATTTGCAAGGGCTGCCCATGGGTGTGAAGGCATCTTCTGCAGTATTTCTATTTCTGCACAGTGTCCCAGTTCTGCATATATATATGATACGATACAGTAATGCCTCGGTTCAAGAACACTTCTGCTTGTTTGCAAACAATTCAGTTTGCAAACAAAAGCATGTGGCAGAACTTTGCTTCCACTCACAAACTCTGCATTGGGTCACAGACACAACCAGGACTGCCTTCCCCACACAAATACAAATGCAGCCATCTTCCCCCAAATCGTAAAACAAATTAACTTCATAGACAGAGACACCACTGTTTATGTATGAATTGTTTGGAAGGACACAGTCATGGGTACTGATGATGGGGATTCCTGGATTATATCTGGAGACGATTAATCCAGTGGACTCTGAACTCAGTCCTCAGGATGTGTGATCTCTGGCTCAGCCTCCTCCGAGCCCCTGGCTATGGTGTCCCTGAGCCCTGTGTGCAGGCTCGGGACTCCTCCAGCCAACCCACTGGGAGAGGCTGCTCTGGAGGCCGTGCAGAAGCAGTGGCTGGGGTGTCACAGGGTCATGGTGCAGAGTCAAAGGAGGGGCTCGGTGCTCTGGGCCCTGGCGCCATGGCAACCTGCAGGCTGTGGTCTCTAGGGGGGTGTTGTCCTTGAGGCTGGGGAGCCAAGTGGGTCTCCCCCAGCTGTGCTGCCCAGGTCAGAGGGTTGGGAGCTGGGGTGGCCTCGGAGATGGCACTGTCCAGAGGTTAAGAGAATCAAGGAAAGAGGAAGCCTAAACCGCATGTCAGCTTTCTCCTGTGTGAAATGGGGACAATCCAGCACCTAGCACGGGGACCGGGTAAGATGAGCGAATCACCACACGGAAAGCCACAGAGCTACGTTTCTCACTAGCTTTATGTGAATGGTTTGGAGTTTTTTGTGGTAAGAGCGTGCTTGAAATTGTGTAAAGCTTCAATGCCCTGTCTGGCAGATACAAATGAAAAAGCCAAAGTCCAAAGAAAGGCAGAATCACCACTTCGGGAGGGAGATAAGTGAAGAGGAGGTGGCGCACACCTGCAATCCTGGCCCTCTCGGAGGCTGAGGCAGGAAGATCCCAAATTCAAGGCCAGCCTGCCAGGGATTCAGCTCAGTGGTGTCGCACCTGCCTCATAAGCGAAAGGTCCCGAGTTCGATCCCTGGTACCAAAAAAACGCCCAGCCTGAACAACTGAGGATTTAGGGAGACCTTGCCTCAGAATACAAAAGCCTGGGACTGTAGCTCAGTGCAGAGGCCCTGGGTTCAATCCCCCATATTGGAGTGGAGGTGGGGGCTTCAGGACTTTTCTCGTTTAGCCTCTAAATCCTTGCTCATACAATAGGGGTAGTGCTGTCTGCCTCCTGGGGATATCGTGATGCTCAGGGGGACGGTGCACATGAAGATAACTCAGACACAAACCACCAAGCACCGGTAAAGTGAGGCGGGTTCATGTGCAGGTGCTGTGTTCTGCAAATATTACAAGCAGTCTGGGCAAACACTCAACAAACAGGCCCCTCCCACGCATTCACTTTCTGCGGACATTTACTTCCTACTGGAGGCAGGTCTCGCCCCAGATTGTTTAGGTATCTGGAGAACACTATTTTGAGCTTTTAATTTTTGTTTGTTTTAAACCCCAAAATTGAATAACCCTTCAAAATATTCTTATGGAAGTCATATCAGCCAAAAATTTGGGGTTACATCTGACATCTAGAGTTGGTTTTAGCACAGGGAGTTTAGCAATAATGGAAAGCATTAAGTTAAATGGTAGATATTTTGTTCACTGTCTGAAACGTAAGTCCTTGTAAAATATTCTAAGTGTGGGTTTGGAAAACAAGTTCTAATACTACGAGATTCTCTCCTCCCATCCAAGTAAACTCAACTCTCAACTCATTCAGCAGAGACGTATTTTGTATGTGTGATGCACCTGGGATAGTTCCAGTTGCTGGGCAGCGGCAGTCGGAACGCGCAGCCCTGGGTGGAGAAACAGACGGGCACACGGATGGATGCAGCACTGGTGGGCATCGGTTAGGATGGAGATGACGGCGGCCCCGGAATCCGACTGGAGAAGGGTGCATCGGCAGGGTGCGGAGAGGACAGGAGCTGAGCTGGCCTGTGGTTAGAGGACAGTGGGACCAACGAGGCAGCTGGGACGCCCGTGTGTTCTGAGCGCCACTCAGAACTGGTCCTGGCACACCTGCTCCTGCTCACGCGTCTGTAGGCTGCGGCGGACGGAGCGGCAGAAGCTGACAGAAGCCACTGGAAGCCTGTGGCGTGACTCTCAGGAGCTTGGCTGTTGATCTGGAGAGGCTGAGGCCGCTGAACAGCACTGTGCCTATTCCCCTCCGTGACATGGCTTTGCCCGAGGTTCACGGTCTGGATTTGGGAGAAAAGTGGTCTCAGGTATGGAAGCAGGCAAGACCCTGTTCAGTGGCCCCCATGATTTGCTTTTCGTACCCATCACGCAATTCACCCTTTAAGAGTGTCCAGAGTTCCCTAGGATTCCCACTCTTACTGTTTTGCCCAACTAGAGCTCATCTTTACCACGTGGGGCCCACTGCTTGGTCTCCTGAATGTAGCCCCCTGCCTGCCTCTCGTATCCTTTCCTCAGCCTGTTCCTCTGTCCCTGGTAGGCTGACCTTAGGGGACCACGCTGGCTGCAGGAGCCCTCGAGGCTTTCTGTGACTCACAGCATCCCTGCGGCATCCACCACTCATCCAGCTCCGCGCCCTTCTCCGTCTGCCAATTCGTGCAGCCAGACTGGCTTCCACCAGGGAGCCTCCTCGAGCTCTGTGCCCCAGGGATCACGTCTTCTCGGAATGCCACTTGTCCCTGCACATCGCCACCTTCCTGTGATGGGGCAAAACCCTGACAGGCAAAGGAGGATTTGTTTGGCTGGTGTATTGCTGAGGGCGAGGGTAAGGGAGAACACCGTGGTGGAAGGGTCTGGTGGAAGAAGGCGGCACACTGCCTGGCAGCCAGGAAACAGAGTAAAAAGACAGATGGAGAGAAGACACAGCCTTCACAGCAGCCCCAAGTGACCTGCTTTCCCTGTCCTGCCGTGGACTCACCCATGGATTAACCTGTTGATGAGGTCGTCAGCACCCTCCTGACCCAGCCATCTCTCCGGGCTTCTCTCTGAGCATTGCTACGCTGGGGTCAGGCCCTCAGTACCTGTGTCTTTGGAGGACACGTCACCTTCTATCCATGACATTCTGCATGTCCACGCACAACCCTAATACGTCAGGGCCAATATTTAAACTGTCTGCAAGTTTAATGCTTAAAAACACAGCAGGGCCGGGGATTTAGCTCAGTGGTGCTGCCACCTGCCTTGAAAGCGCAAGGTCCTGAGTTCAATCCTCAGTACCAAAAACAAAAAACAAGACACAAAGCGGAGTCTGAGCGTGAGGAGGTCCCTACAAGCCCACTGTGCAGGTGTGGGAAATGTCCCTCACCTGGGCCATTGGAGTGGAAGCGCTTTGCCAGTCTAGAGCGTGCAAAGGGGCAGAAATCAGCTCTGCTGGCCCCGGCTGTCGGAGTCCCATGCCAGTGTGACTGGAGGCTGGCCTGGAGGCGCAGGCCCAAGGTGCTTCAGCCCTTCCCTCCTCCTTCGCTGTGATCTTCTGGTGTGCTCATCACTGTCCTCCTTATAAAACAACTTTCACAATGACAAGCGCGGCTCCTTAATATAACTTTTATTCTCATTTGCTTAAAAGATTGTGAGTTCAAATTGGCTCAACCATGTTTTCAGATATTTCTCCTAGACTTCTATTCTACCCTCTCCTATGTAAGAGTAAAGTTTCCAAGTGCCTGGAACCCAGCTTCTAGATGAAGAATTCTGTGGTTTTGTGTAAGCAGGAGGTTGTGTCCCAGGAAGGAGTGACAGGAAACCTCGCCTGTCTTACGGTGGAACCCGAAGATAAAATCCACCTATGTGATGGTTATATTGTTCCATTTCTTTTAAAACTACTGTTATCAGTGTGAATTAATTAGAAGTTCTTTCCTAAGTAAATTTCCTTCTGATGTCACACAGGAGTTTAGTGGTTGGAGTGCTAATTCCAGAATTTAAGAAATTTTCCTTCATGGTCCGAGGAGGGGTCTTTCTCCCGGGCCTGAGTATGAATCCAGTCTTTTTTCACTGTTTTTAAATTCTTTACTTCTCTTAGCACATGTTTGCAGTACATAATGATCACCTTCATCTCGGGGAGTGGATGACATGAGCACAACGCTCGTGAATTCTATTTATGTCCCCTCTCTCTCCTCCTGCCCCTTACATCTCTTGGTCTTTCCTTTGGCAAAAGACCTATCTCCCTGTTTCCTATTATCCGTCTTTGGGTTTTCTCTTTAATTTATTTGTACTTTGGGTTTCTGATGTAAAATAAGCCATGCAACACTTAGCTGTGTGTGTCTGATTTATTTCACTTAAACACTGTGGTCTCAAGGTCTAACCCTTTCCCTACAAATGATCTAAATGTATCCTTCTTTATAGCAGAGTAGTACTTCATGAATGCCACAGCTCTTACACATTCATCTGGGGATGGACATATCAGCTGCTTCCAAGATTTAGATACAAACTGTGCTGCTGCTAGAAACATGGGTGTGCCTGTGTCACGGCAATACGATCTTGAACTCTTTTGGGAAGGTATCTAGAAGGGGTGTAACTGAGGCGGTGTAATTTCTGCTCTTAGGTTTTGAGGAACCTCCATACTGATTTCCATGGTGGTTGTACCAGCTTACATTGCCAGTAACTATCTTGAAAGTTTCCTTTTTCCCCAAAGATTTACGGAATTCGTTATTACTTGATCTTGTTTTTATTACGTTTATTGGTACATTTCAGGTATACAATACAGTTACATTCCTCACTGGGATCTTGTACCTGCACATGAGACTCTCGGGTCTTATGAATCCAGTTTTGCCAGTGGTTCGTGCAGACACTACTGAAGAATCTCTCATCGGTGTGCATCATTTCAGAACAGTGAGCCACTTGAGTCCTCATCAGTCTCCTTAGTAAGAGATGAGCATGGCTCCTTTGATATTAACATACTGCAAGGACTGTTTGTGAAGAGCTCCCGAATGCATTTCCAGGGCTAATCCCTGTCCTCGCCTAAGATAAACTCCAGGGAAAACAGGAGTGGATGCCATATTTCCTGCCTGAACTCCTGTTCCTCATTAGACCACATCAGTCATCGTGGCACCGAGACTGGTGGCCTGACAGCGTGGCGGAGGCAGATGGCATGGAGTGGCTCTGGCAGGCATGGCCTGTTTGTGCTGTATGGAACGTGTTGCTCTCCTATGCTTTTATTTTCATTGGTGGGGGCTCATTTTTCCTCCCGGAAACTCAAATCCTGTAACCAATCTGTGCTCCTCACCGCAGTTATTCTAAGACCAACGTGGCCCGGTAGACCTATCTCACCTCGCTGGCCCCTAGCTCCACCCACCCGGAACGAGGTCCAGGACTCAGAACCTCTTTGCCTTCTGAACCACAGCCGCACACTGCCAGGCTAGGGCCGGGCACTGCCTCTCCCAGGGACATCGTGCTCCGGGCCTCGCTTGGAGGCGTCTGGAGGAGGAGGAGCGGCGGTGGCATCTGCTGTGGCGTCAGGCACGGGGCACGGGACGGCTCGAGGGACACGGTTTGTCCTGCCCACAGTGTCGGGAGTGGCGGCTGCGAGCTCTGGCACAGGGCGGAACCTGGGCTGAGGGACGAGGGACGTGGGAAAGGCTTACCTCTACTACTCTCGGTCCAACCGGAAGAAGAGAGAGCGGAGCTCTGAACCCTTAGAAGACACATTCACACGTGTTATGCAGTTTTTAAAAAAGTATTAATATTTCTAATGTTTCTAACGGCAGAGTTAGTGGCACGCGTGGACCTTTAAGAAAAAGAAATCTGGCAGGAAAGGTTCAGGGGAATGCATGCTGAAATCGTCGGAAGTGCCTGCGCTTGGCTGGAGCACTGGAGACCAGGGTTAGAGGCCCCAGTGCTGAGAGGCAGGAGAGTGCAGTGGGAGGTGCAGTGTGGGCGTTTATCGGCTACACCTGGGTTTTTTAAGCTCTTAATAAATTGAGCAGTTGCCCTTCTGCTCGTCCCCCCGAAGCTGGAGCTGTCTCAGGAGATAGTACATGGGATGGCAGACGGGAGAAAGAAAATGAACCGCCCGAGAAGGCCCACGGCTCTGCCGTGTGGGGCGAGGGCTCGCTGTGCTGCCCTTGCCCTCCCCTCCCCGTGGCAGGCGCTCCCCTGGGGGCTGGGCTGCGCCCCCACCCTGTCCATGCTGCTGCCCTCCCCAGGGGAGGGGGCGTCTCCTCACTTGCTCCCTGTGATTCCCTGAGCAGGGGAGGGGCCTGTGTCCCCACTGCGGGTGTCCTTACGGAGCACCTTTGTCCACTAGCAACTGTTCAGCCCTCGATGTGGATACCGGGCCACAAGGGCAGCTGTGGGCACCTGCTGGGATGCCCTTCTGTCACTGTCAGCAATCCCTGCAAGTCCCACAAGCGCCGTCTCTCCCAACACCAGCCTTCTCTGGTGCTCAGTTGAAATTTGGATGGATGTGATCTTTTCTTTCTCTTTGAGCAGTTTGTTCATTGTTGCGCAGTAATCATGGAAATAGGTCAGGGCCCTCTTTGAGCTGGGCTCGTCCAACACCCCAGAGAACAGCCCTTAAATATTAATAGCATCACTGCAGAAACACGGCAGCTATTTCTCTGCTTTCTGCACCTCAATGAAGAGTTGTTCAGTGCGCAGCCTGGTGCTCTGGCCTCATGAATGGACGTGATTGTGGGAAGTCGGCTCCTGCTACGGCAGGACGTGACATGGGAACAAAGGCCGGTTTTCAGCCTGTGGGGATGAGCTCAGCCCAGGGCCTATGTGGGGATTTGAATCTGGTCCAGGTGCCGGTGTTCTGCGTATGCAACATTCCCGGGAAGCCGCGGCCTGGGCAGCAGCCTCTGTGCACTGCTCTGCGTGAGCAAGCAGAGGGCCAGCCAGGGCAAGGGTCATCGCTCTGCTCAGCCTCCGTGTCCTGCACAGAGAACCACCGCACTCTGAGCATAGGGAAGCAGTATTTTCAGTTTGCCAGACCGAGAAGGGCCCTAAGAAGGCACATTTGTGTCATCACTTTCCGGGTGGCCATGTCTGTGAGGAGTGCATTTCTCTTTGCCAGTACCTGCCAGAGTTTGGGGACACCACGCCGAAGCCCTGACCGGGTGGCTGCCAGGAATGGAGAACCAAAGGATCAGCTTCTGTTTATGTGATGTCTGAGAGCTGGCTTTTCACTGATGTGACTGATTTGATTGTTTGATCGTGTTGCAGTCGTAGCTTCTTTGTCAGCTCCAAGGAAAACCCATCACTGTGCACAAAGCGAAACTGCACAGCCTCAGTTTACTTCTCTGCTTGCTAGAGAATTTCCAGCCGCCCTGTAGATTGTGTGTACAGATGGTGAATCATCCTCCTGCAGTGGGCCTTGCACTTCGGCGCCTGTCATTCAAGTTCAGACCCAGGGGAGTTTTCAGTGCAGACTTGAAAAGCATTGCAGGTGAATCCGCTGGTGCTGGTAAAGGGGAGAAGCACTGGAGCCAGGCGTGGGTGTGGACCACTGTCCGCCACCAGGGTTGTTAGCGTCAGTGTTTATTATCTGTGTGAGTGGCCGGAGCCTCATCTTCCTGCCTGTGACAGGGGAACAGCAGCAGCCCTTCCTTCATGGCACATGGTCAGGATGCCTGAGAGTCACCTGCCATTCTCGAGACCCCAAAGGGAGGAGCGAGAGGGCTCTGGGTTGAGGGATGTGTCCTTCCCGCGGCTGCAGTGTTTAGGGAGCTGCTCTCCATGATTGAGCAGAGCTTCCGGTGGCCTTTCCATCATTCTGAACAACCGTTCTCTGAACGGCCTCCTAAATTCAAGTCCTCTTTGTGTCTGACCTCAGCCTGCAAGGACTGACCGACACGAAGTCTTTGTTTTCCAACCAAGACGATCACACCACACCTCTAAGTTCCTTTAAGAAGCCAGTGCCCTTCTCCGCTGGACCCAGTCCCCTCGGCGGAGAGGCCCAGGACGCACGCCCTGGACCTGGCTGCCTCTCAGAACAAGCTGATGCCACCGAGAGAGCTGCAAGCAGCCAAGAAGCCTGGCCATGCGCTGAAGGAGCCTATGTAGAGCCTGTTAGAAGATAACCAGCAAGGTCAATGTGATTTCCTGGGGGTGGTTTCATCATTAAAAAACATCGACTGTGAATAGGCACATGGACTTTTGAGGCACACTGGTGCCCAATACATGCCCCATCTCTCCAGATTTCCTGCTCAAATGAGTTTTGCTTTGAGAGAATTCCGAACTCCCCTGGCTCTTCCCCACATCTCAGTGTTTGGATCAGTTTGCTACGTTTTGAATGAGGTATGATTAAACAACGGAGTGAACAAGAAAACTTTATTACGGTAAAGACACTGCTGCAATCCCCCCTCAGAAGCCCACCACTCACTTTGAACACTCTTATCCCATCGTTCTTGCCACTTTCTGAGGCCCTCTTTTGTGAGTGTCTGTAGTTGCGCCAATATGTCTGCTGTAGTGTCCTTATTCCATTCAGAATCCTTACCTTTCATGGTCATTTTGACTTTGAGGAAGAACGAGAAGTTGCACAGTGCTAGATCTGGTGAATAAGGTAGTTGAGGACATGCTACAGTGTTCCTGCAAGCCTGCCTTTCGGTTGGATGGCACGCAGCAGCAGGATTCACCATGTTTTTGATCACAGTGTGTAAAGACACTCACGAGAGAGCACTTCCAGAACTGCTTCAGAAGGTGGCAGGAATGACAGGATGAGAATGCTTCGGTGAAGTGAGTGCTTTGAGGGAGGCTAGCTGTACCATGTCTTCTATGGTAATGCATTTTGAAATTTTAATATTTGCTATATATTTTGATCTCATAAGAATTTTTCTCTAACTTGAGAATTAATATTTCTTCCTATGGCATGTTGTTAAGTCAGCCTTCAGAACCCACCAATCAGGGGTTTAGGTCCTGTGTCTTGAGCAAGTATTCTCACAGTGCAGGTGTCCCCACTCCTCTGTGTGTGTGTGTGTGTGTGTATGTGTTTGTGTTTTGATCCTAAGGATAAACAGGATGTGGAATATTTACTGTTTCATCTGAATGCAGGAAAAAATCATTCAATATGTAACACCATTTCCCTCAGAAATACCAATTTAAAAAATTCTGTAAGCACTTCATACACTTGAAAACATTATTTTTTGAACCTAGTTCATCAGCAAGTCTGAGAGGGAAAGTAGCATGATTTATGTCCTGTCCCTGGCAAATTGAATAGAATCCATTTCTTAAATCAATGTCTTGGGGTTGAACAGCAAACACTATCTGTCCAGGAATGCATGTTTTGTAGAAGACGCTATTGTGTGACAGTGGGTACGGGTCCTTGTCTGCCCTGTGTCCGAGCTGATGTTTGCTCACCGCTTGAATTCATCAGCTCTGGATTCCTTGCTGCTGTCCTGGCTTCCTCTCATCCAAGAGCTCTTTCACAGGCTGTGGCAGCACTTTTGAGATGAAAAGGCGTGGCTCCTAATTAATATTTCCAGAAGGAAAAGACTCCGGGGGACCTTTCTCCCGATCACAACACTCCCTGAAAATCTGCGCGCTTCCCCCACATCAGCACCAAGAACGTCTCCCTGGACCCCAGACTCATCTTGGGGTGCGATGGAGGGGCCGCTTTCCTTCCACAGGGTGAGGAGATGGCCCCCAGATGGCTCCCTGGGAACGGGGTCTGGGGTCTGTCTCCCACACTGCCGTACTTCCGGGAAAGACAGCTGCTTCCAGAGCAGCTGAGGAGAGGAAGTGCAGCGCAGGGTCCCTGCCGACTCCGTGCAAACCGTGGTCTTCCGAGCTGCCTCCCTGAGCCCAGCCTGGAGCACAGACAGGCGCAGAGCAAGGGCAGCTGAGCATCCTGGCCGAGTGCCTCGGCGCTGGTGTGAGGTTCCCCGGAAAGACAGCTGGACGTCTTGCTCTCTGTCGAGTTGCAGGGTCCTTCGAAGCCAAGGTGGGAAGGGCCTTCCGAACAGGGCTTAGTCTGGCTGTGCTGTCACCTAATAAAAACCCCGAATGCACAGCGGACCATGCGCTCCAGGGCCACCATTCTTCAGTGTCTCCTGACGGGCGTTTAGTGGGTAGCAAATGCCCAGCTTCGAGCAGAGAGCAGCGCTCTTCTAAATGACAGAACTTGGCGGCTGCAGGAGCCGGGCTAATTATGTTTCTGTCATTCATAGGCGGTAGAGCTTTTGTGGCTTTCCTATAAAATAGCTCCAGGGTATTATTTCTGCGCACTTATGTAAGCTCTGCTCATTAAGCAAAGTGCTCCCAGTTAAGTTCCCTTTTAATTTTGTTTTCTAAGATCTTTGTGATAAGAGAGCACTGTGCCACAGTGAGCCCTTTCTGTGGAACAGTTAATGGCAAGTTGATATAAGACCAAATTTTAAAATGCACACGGAAGTCAATGGGACTTATCCCTGCTTTACACTTCACATTGTAAGGCCTCCCCCTTTACCCAGAGAGGCACAGTAATAGCTCATGGGGTGCCTCCTAAGAGGTCATTATCGGGATCTGGCTTCTCCAAGTGGAAGGAGGATTAGACATGCAATTGGAGAGCTTTTCTCTAGCACTTAGCAGCTGCAGAAGCCCCTCCATTTCTCTGAGCATCTCTTTTATCATTTACAATGGCCATCACCTTCCTACCTAATGATGATTTCTCCACCATAATTCCAGGGTTCCAAGGAGAGTGAATGTTGATCCAAAGGCCCAAAGCACTGTGCAGATTGGCAGGTCACCCCCATCTTTGGCACTGCTGTCATTGCTCTTGTCGTTATTAACACCAGACTGCTTCAGACAGGGATATTTAAGTGCACCCAACAGTTGATATTTGGGGGTCTGCGTGGAAGGCCTTTAGGAGCCCTTGAATATTTAAACACAGTGAGCCGTGTGGTAAGGCTGGTCTCACCCCAGCTCCACGCCCCAGCCGACCCTGGGCTTGCCAGGCGGTGTCCGGGGACCGGCAGCAGCACGCTTCCCCTGCATGTGCTTCGAGGGCACTTGGTGGCATCGTGGGCGGATTGGCCTTTGCTGACCTTCCCGGCTGCAGAGCTTGGAGGTCGCCCAGTGAGTCGCTCACCCCGATAGACGCCCATTTTGCCTGTGCAGCAGGCCTTGCGAGGACGCAGCTGCCCCGTGTGAGCAGCCTGTGCAGCAGGTTGGCCTTCTGAGTCCTCAGAGGACTCATATCTAGAATATATATAAAGAACTAAAAAATATCAGACTTCCAAAATAAAAGACCCAATCAGAAATTGGGTCACTTAAATGAATAGATACTTCTCAGAAGAAGGAGTACAAATGGCCAATAAAGACATGAAATAAATGTTCAACATTTCTGGCCATTAGAGAAAATTAAAGGAACATGGAGATTCCATCTTACTCCAGAAAGAATGGCTATCATCAAGAAATAAAATAATAACTAATGCCAGCAAGGCTACGGAGGAAAAGAAACCCTTCTCCACAGTTGGTGGGGAGGTATGGAAATCACTGTGGGGAATCCTCAAAAAATTATAAATAGAAATTCCATTTGGCCATTTTTCCTTCTGGGTATCTTCCTGAATTAGAAGACATCATATTACAGTGATTCATGTATACTCATGTTTGTAGCAGCACAATTCATGAGTCTTAATAAATCTTGGAGTAGCATCTATGGCCGTCAGCAGATGCATGGATAAAGAACATGTGGTATATATCTATAACGGAGTACTACTGTGCCGCAGAAAGGACACATTTGAAAAGGGACACGCCTTGAGGCAATGTTAAGTGAAATAGATCAGACAGAGAAAGTTAAATACTACACAGTTTATCTTAGACGAGAACCCCAGCATGTGCATAATCAAAGAGCAAAATGAAAGACTGACGATAGGAAACGGGGAGGTAGACTTGGCTGCGACGGAAGGGAGCTGGTGATGGGGCAGCCGCCGGCCAGGCGGACAGGAAGGAAAGGGGGGGGGGGCGGCGGCACACGCGCGTCACTCACGGTTGGGTCGGGACACCCGAGAAGGAGTCTGACCGCGAAGGAGTCAGGGACAGTGAGGGCTGCGACCCACCCTCTGGGCGTGGGCCCTGGTGACCCCGCGGTCCCCGGGCGGCCTGCACTGGAGACGCCGCTGGCCCCGCGGGGCGCTTCCCTCGCCCCTCCTCTGCCACCGGAAGCGACCCCCGAGGCTCGGTGGGGCCGGCCGCGCCCTCCCTCTGCTCCCGGGCAAGGAGGCGCCCTGCGGACCGCGCCTGTTTCCGGTCGGTTGCAGGCCGGGGCGCTCCCTTCTTCCTGGGGCTCCTCTCTGGGTCGCGCCAGAGAAGCTGCCCCGCCTGCTGCGCACCCGCCAGTCCCAGTCGGGGGCTTAACCTGGCTTGACCCGGGGAGCTGGGGGTCCGCCCAGAGCGGGGCCGGCCGCTCGGTTTCCCCGCGCGGCGCCCCCTGCGGCGGGTGCGGGGATTGCAGCCTGCGAGCCCGACTTCTGCTCTGCAGCCGGCAGCCTTCTCATTTTATAACGCGGAACCCTGAGCCAAGGTGCTGATTGCTGCCCCTCAGTTAGCTCGGCAGGGAGGGCGGTGGGACTGGGAAGCCCTCTCCCGCACCCCAAACAAAGACAGCCTTCCCCCAAATTCTTCCTACTGCATGTCCTCATATGTAAAATTTATGCAAAGAAGCGCATTGAGATAAAGGGAAAAGCTTCTGATTTTAGCTATAGAAAATGTCTTAATATCTTACAGTGTCAGTGTATTTTGGAAGGATTGTTGGGAAAATTAAGAACGTAGAAGTCTTTTTTCGCCCTGAAATATAATGTCCCTTCATTTGGAAGGGGGGAGTACAGAAGAGAAGCCACCATCTCAAGTCTTCATTGGTATTTTATTTTACATAAAATTGACCACAAAGTGAATTTCTATAAATAAAGTCATACATTTTTCATTGGCTTTCAGTGTAAAATGCATGACTTCTCTGTGAACCTAAGGTAAAGAAAATCGCATGCAAAGGTGAAACAATTGTTTAAAAATATACATTAAAACCAACAATCAGAATAAATTTTGAAAATACTAAGTTTACTTGTGTTCAGAAACTTTGTCCTTGGGTCCCAACCTGGACAAGTTCATGTTCAGCACTATGTTTCCTTACAGAGTGGGGGTCTTGATATCACTTAAATCTTTACCACCCAGAAAAATTTTAACATGTAACACTTTGGGATAACATTTTAACGTTTAAAATTGCTTTCCTCTTCAAATATAAGTTTATTTTAGACAGTTTTAGCTTTGTAAGACAATTGGAAAGATAGTATAGAGTCCTCACGTATTCCCCATCTGGGTTCCCTTATTGTTAACATCCTAAATGAGTTTATATTATATGTTAAAATTAGTGAACCAATAATGAAACTTTTTATTTATTGAACTCCATACTTTAGGCAGATTTTCTTAGTTTTCCTTGCTGCCCTTTTTTTCTTCAAGAGTTTTATTAGTTACTTTGCTGACACTAGTACAAAATACCTGACACAGCTTAAAGGAGGAGATAGTTATTTGGCTCATGGTTTCAGGGGATTCAGTCCCTGGTCAACTGGCTTCAAGGCAGGAGCATCGTGACAGCAGGGTGTGGTGGAGCAGAGCTGCTCACTTCATGGAGGCTGGGAAGCAGAGCAGGGGGCAGAGCTGGTGAGAGACCAGGCCTCCAAAGCACACCCAGTGGCCCACTTCTTAGCAGCACCTTCAGCTGTGAACACCAGTGGATTAATCCACTGATGAGTATAGCAATCCATGATCTAACCACCTCTCTGGGCATCTCTTAATCCAGTTAAATTGCCAATTAAGAGACTCTCATGGTCTTCACTTTCCTTTTGCCTACAGTCCAGGGGGCTGGACATTACCCACATATGAGACCTGCAGCAGAGAAATTAGGTCTCAGGCCATGCAGATCAAGGCTGTGGGCATTCTGAAAGACAGCGATCACCTTCATGCAGAGGGTAGTCCAGTGGATCCTAAACTTCTCCGCTTACAAACTAGACCTTCAAGGACAGAAAAGATTTGGATGTGGTGAGATGGGAGGGTGGCAAGTCTGTCAGGGAACACACTGAGCAGGACAAAGAGGTGGGGAGTAAAGACTGCTGTGGACGCAGGTACGGGGGCACGCGTAGGGGAACCACCTGTTTCCTCCCCTGTAGATTTGCAGGCAGTGTGATTTCCTTAAGTGGGTAGCCATATGTTTATACACTGGAGTGAATTTTTGCGTGTGACCGATTAGTTAATGGGAACCAAGTCACTTGGCTCCAGAATGTGTTGCTAAGATGTCATTCTTGATGCGCTGTTACATTTCTCATGTTCTTAACATCCTCTGACAACCCCAGAGTTGTTGCAGATTTACAGTGTAAGTTTTTATTTCACTAGTGGTACCTCAGTTCACAAACTTAATTCTTTCCTTGATTCTGGTTGCAAACCAAATTGGACGAGAACGGAATCAAATTCAATGGTTAGGTTCAATGTTGACCTTATGGGGAGATGTGATTCAGTTCTCGTCATCCAGTTCAGTTTGTGACAAGAAACATGGGGGAAAAGTTCATGAACCAAGGTACCACTGTATTTTGTTTGCAGCAGGCAACTTTCAAACCCAGTCTTGACCTTCTTTTTATTATTCAGGAGATGAAAAATGTGTCATATTCACCCCTTTGCCATTTGTTAGACGAGTGGATTGTTTCCAGCTTGGAACTCTTGTGGGAAAACAGCTGTTCGCAGCACTCATGCGCAAAGCCTTGTGTGGACATCCAGCTTCTTCACTTGCTGGCGAATTCCCAGTGGTGGGACTGCTTTGTCTGGTGGCAGGTGTTTGCTTAGCCTTGTGAGAAACCATCACACAGGGCCCACACTGCTGGTACCCTCTGTGCTTCCGCTAGAGTGTGATGGCTCTGATGGCTCAGTTCCTCTGCCTTTTGGCTCACACTGGGTATGGTCAGGTATTCTTTTCCATTTCATCCCTCCTAACAGGTATGTGGAGGTGTCTTATGGTAGACTTGCCTGCATCTCCATGGTCAGTTAATGATAGTAAAGTTCTTTCCATATTCTTAGTGAGCATCTTTATGTCTGGCAAAGTACTACAAAGTCTCTTGTGTCCTCTCAGCTTTTTAAATTATTGCTTTGTCTTCCTATTGACTAGGTTTTAAGACTTCTTATGTGTTCTAGATAGAAGGATATTACTGGATACATGCTTTGCAATTGTGCTTTTCATCCTAGTCTATAGATTGTCTTTTTTGTTCTCTTTTTTAAAAATTAATTTTATTAGCATATTTTAGGTGTACAATATAATGACATTCATCATTGGAAATTTGCACCTTTACATAATCTCTCTTGGGTCTTATTTTTCCCCCTTCCCCTGCCCTCCCTTCAACGCCTCCATCCCTCCCTATTTACAAAGACTTTGTTTCCATCTTTTCATTTTCTCGTATTAATTCCATTCCCTTCTTTCCTTTCCCCT